AAAAAAAAAAAAAAACATGCAATTGAACTTTAAATAGACAGATAATAGTGTGGATGCTGAATCTGCTTAAGAAACCAACCACATAGTTTTTATTTGCTTCTTTTTATATGTTATGTTTTCATTCACAGTGGCAGTGTGTGTTTTACTGTTTGACCTTTCTAGTTCTGTCTTTGTTTTATTGTCCACATACGGATGGTCAAGTTTGCCTGCTTAAAGAAAGTTATTCAATTAATAAGTAATAAWATACAAACCAAGGAGTTAAAGCTACTTTGTCATTTTCCCTGAAGAACAGCAAAACTTGTTTGAGTAGAGCTGATAGTTTCCCCTCAGAGGTAAAAAACTGGCTGTAATAGACCTGTTGTTGGAACATAATAGAAAAATCTTCAGAGCTGGTTCAAAGCCYAAAGCTGATGTCCCGAGGCTGGAAAACCCATCTCTGCTCAGAACTGAAGGACCATGAAATATGGAAAAGGGCACATTGTTGGCTGAAGGCCTGGCCTCATCCTGAGCCCTCAGGCCAGGGTCCCCAACCCTGAACACCTCTGCTTTCTCCTCTGCTTTGTGTGTGTGTGTGTCTTCCATACACATCCTAAATTGGCTGCACACTGTTTTACATTATGATGAAATGAGCCCTGATTGCCCACTGCTTTGCCAGGTAAAATAAATTTGTTATTCCATTACAGCATGATAGACCGCTCTGCCTAAAGGTAAATTCAAAAAAAGTCTTCAGCACCACGCAGTTTACCAGAGGCCCCTTTGGCTCGCTTCAAACATTTTCTGCCAAGTGACAGGATGGCTGCCAGTTTCCACAGCAATCTGGGCCACCTGTGATGGATGGCCCAGTGGGTTAGGCTACACAAACGCAGCTGTGATTGCACACAGCCATAATGGAGGAATGGGGGGGACCTGTGAGCCGGAGATAGACAGAGGTTTTATAAGCTTTTATTTGCTCAGAGCAGAAATATTGAGAGTAGATTCAAAGTTTAGAGACTGGAGAGAATTAGCTGCAGTAAACCAGAACTGCTCCCGTTTGCTCTGCACGCTGATGGAGGAACAACCAACGGAAAAATAAATAAATAAATAACTGTAAGTCTAGCTAAACACAAAACAAGATTTTACAAATCCACTTAGTTTGAAAATCTCATTTCTTCTTTCTTTAATTGGCAATTCTCTCTCTCTCTCTCTCTCTCTCTCTCTCTCTCTCTCTCTCTCTCTCTCTCTCT